AGGATAGCCACCGTTTTGTTGGATCCAAAGGAGTATCCAATCTAACTCTTGATTTGCGGAAGTTGCCCAACCACATCACACCTCCTTAGAACCTATTACCAACAATCCCACATCCAGAACTATATTCCTAGGGAATGCTGACACCTAAGTTCATGAATATACATTCAGTGATATTCACTGTAATGCTTTAGAAGCTAAAGCTTGGTCTCGGCTAAATCTTCGTCTCGCTATAAACGTCCATTAACAGAAGCTCTGGTGGCCTAGTGTTAAGAAGCTGCGTTGCAGGAAGTAGCTAAGAGAATAAGCCATCCCCTTTTCCTTATGAATCAGGGTGAAGTCTCTCTCAGGGAGGAGTGATAGGGAATGGCAAAGGACACACTGACAAAGGAGATTAATCAGAACTGGCTTCGACAAGCACTGTGGCAATTGGACAATTAAAACAGACATTCGGGGGTGGGGAGGGGAAGAAGAACGAACTGGGGAGGAGGGTAGAGAAAACAGTGCAACAATGAATGAATGAAAACCCAAAATCTCTAAATGTTCACTAAAACTAATAAAATTTAATAATAATTTTTTTTAAAAAGCTGCTTTGCAAAGCCGAAGGGATGTAGTTCAAATCCACCAGCTTCTCCCTGTGAGAACAATAGGCAGTCTCCTCCCATGCAATTTACTGCCTCTGAAAACCTGCTGAAGGGTCAGCTCTGGCTCAGTGCTGACTCAACAGTAAACAACAACAACAACAACCTACTTCTTGTGGCCTTCCAATTCATTCCATCCCACAGCAACCCTGTAGGACGGAATAGGGCTGCTCCACAGTGTCTCCAAGGTTACCATCTATACAGCAGCACATATTTCTCCCATGGAGCCACTGAGATGCAAACAGCCAGTTCTTTGACCCAGCCAGTACTCAGCCAATGAACCATCAGGATTCCATAAGAAATTCTGTCCCTCTGGGCTTGGTGTTTGTTTGCGGCGCAATGGCCAAACGCACCAAGAAGGTCGGCATCGTGGGTAAATACGGGACCCGTTATGGGGCCTCGCTGAGGAAGATGGTAAAGAAAATTGAAATCAGCCAGCATGCCAAGTACACTTGCTCCTTCTGCGGCAAAACCAAAATGAAGAGAAGAGCTGTGGGCATCTGGCACTGTGGTTCTTGCATGAAGACAGTAGCTGGTGGCGCCTGGACCTACAACACCACCTCGGCCGTCACGGTGAAGTCAGCCATCAGAAGACTGAAAGACCAGTAGAAGTTCCCCCTTTTGAAGCATCTCTAGCCTGTAATAAATGGGTTAATTTATGTAAAAAAAAAAAAAAGAAATTCTGTCCCTTTGACATGCAGCAAGAGGTCAGAGACGCGCCAGAATTCAGCCTGGTGCTGCTGTATCCTTTAACCTCAGCAGAGCCCCGAAGATGTTCAGATGTATTCATGCCAATGTTTTCTTCAGTCCGGTGGTCAGCTCCTGTGCTTCTTGTCCCTTTTTAAGGAAAGCTTACGTAAAATTATGACCCTTTAAAAAATTGAGTTAATCAAGGGGTGATTCTTTGCTAATTCTTCTGGGTTCCTTTTATTAAGAGCTTCTCTGCCAACACATAAGCATTTGTGGACACAAAAAAGATCTGAACATGAACGGTTAGAAGCCTCTCTGGTCATTGGAAATCAATCAGTAATGAAGATAAATCGTCTCCAAAAGTATAATCTGTCATTGAACATCTGTAATTGAGTTTACAAAAAAACAAAATTGATTTATACACAGATTCTGAAGCATGACCCGATGCCAGTGCACTTTGCCAGATAACCTGAAAGGTAACATTTCCACCTGATTAGGCTTTCTGTAAGCCACTGAGGAATATTGAAAATGTTGACGTCATCTCTCTGAACATGGAGATACACATATATGAGGATTCGGCCATCATTCCCCTCAGCATCGTAGGAGACCAAGTTACCATCATCTTCAGAGCACTATCCTTCTAGACATGTTAACTCTTATGTGGTCTTCATGGGCACTTTTTTTTTCCTTTTAGATGAAATAATTAGAAAATTTGCTTCTTTTTTCTTCATGATTTAAAAAAAAAAAGCCCAAGGGATAATGCTTTTAGAGTGGGCAAAAATTCTAGAAAAGTCTATATTGTTCTTATTAACTGCCTTCAGGTCAACTCCTGATAGCAAATCCATTCACCATCCAGAAGGGTTTCTTGTCCCAATTCCGAACTGATAGTACCCATCGTCCTAATGACCCTAAACAACAGATTGTTACAACATTGCTGTTTTTTTTTTTTCTTTCTTACACCATTATACATATTTGATATTTTTTTACAATGTGGTAGATATAGGTAGGAAGAAAATTAAAACTACCTATCTGTTGCAACTCTTAGAAGTCACTGTTAGCCTTTTTAAATGGATGGATGCATCGAGTTGCTTTTTTAGATGTACATGTCTTGGGAAAAGTGCAGCCAGAGTGCTCCTTGGACACAAGGAGGGAGACACTTGGTCTCATACACTTTGGGCATGTTGTCAGGAGGGGTCAGTTCTTGGGGGTGGGGGGCAGGAATCATGCTTCTGGTGAGCTCTGGTGGTCTGTCTAGTGGCAAGAAGCTGCACTGCAATCCCAGAGCTGAGCCGTTCAAATCCACCAGACGCTTTGCTGGAGGAGGAGGGGCAATTTCTCCTGTACCAATCAGATTTGATTTGACAGTCCACACAGAAAATATAATAAAATTTTTTAAAAATAGCAGGTCAGCAAAGGAGAGGAAGACCCTCAATGAGATGTCTTGACGCAGCAATGGGCTGAAGGAGAGATTGTGAGGACGGTGCAGGTTCCAGCGGGATTTTGTCCCACGGTACCCAAAGTCCCTGTGATGGCGCCTAACAACAACAGTATTTTTATTAAAAAAATGCTTTATTACAGCATGTGCTATTCTTGTTCCCTCCTGGTTTTTATTTAATAATGTATCAAGGGCGTCATCACATCATTTTTATTGACCGCAGCCCCCTCTGCTCTTTTCAGCCTTTCACTGTTCTGACAGGACAGTAATGAGTATCTTTGCTGTCAAATCCCTTTTCACATTCATAAAAATGATACGTGTTTGCATTCATCAATACACGGTCACATAATTCAAGCTCTTCTCTTGACATTGCGCTGATTAAAGTGGAAGGATGGTATCTGCTGGGCTTCCCCAGGAAACCAGAATTCTTTGCTTTTGTTTTCCAAGTTGTTATGGTACCAGAGGGGATGTGGATGGGAAAGAAAGCGTTTCATGAACACGTGTGTGGAGATAGGTTTTCATTTTCAACTCGTAGCTTAAAAAATAGTCTTTAGTATTCATTTCAGATATATTTATATTTCACAAATTTTGCTAACCGTTGAGATGAGAGTGACTATATTGAAAGAATATGTTATTGTTAACTAAGATGCATTTGCTCTAATCATGAAGCATCCCTTTATTGTTTTCTGGTTGCCTCTTTTTCTTAAAAAAGAAAAAAAAAGCATGCTGTTTGCTTGGCCAGACTGCTGCTTAACATTCTTAATACTTACATTGCTTATGGACAGCGTTTCTGATGGAGGATTTTAGGTGCCAGGCGGATCAGTGGCAAGATAAAATTGCCAAGTCGAGCTTGAGAGCCTTGCTCTATCTTGGCCCCTCACCACACTGAATTCAGTCATGAGCTCCTGGCACGTGTGCCCTTTGGAAATGAAGAACCTCTCACATGACATGGCATGATATAAAAAGACGCTGAACCACATGATAGGGGCAGTACTTAAGGAGAAAGTCCAGCTGTGAACACCAGCTCTAAATCCCCTCCACGCTACTTAGTGATGGGGTGGGAGATGAAGCAATGGTCAGTGGACCTTCACATAGAGAGGTGTGAAGTTAAGTTCTGCCTGGAGCATGGCAGAGGAATGCCCATCTGGGAGAACTGCTGAGGAAACCTTGTCAGACAGCCAAGGGGCAGGGCCGGGCTGGGTCAAAGAGCAGGATAAACACCCGAAGTCTTCAAAGTGAGACTGTTCCTTATTTCATGCGCTGAAGAAGGATGGAGTCCCTGTTTCAGTTTGATGAGTTGTTGTTGTTGTTTGGTGTTCTGATTTTTTAAATTAAATTAAGATAGGGTTTCCCAGTGTTGGCACTATTGACATTTTGGGCCAGATAATGAACTCTTTCTAGTCAAGGTTGCCCTATGCATCATTGAGTGCTTTTGCAGCAACCCTGGTCCTGACCCACTAGATGCCAGCACCATCATCGCTGGGACACCCCGATATACCATCCGGCTGTCATTGAGAACCACTGGAGTAGAAGATTATTATTTCTGAAAAGATGAAAAACAGCAGACTTGAGCTAAAATTCCTAATAATGTCATGTGCCAGCTTATTGATAGACACGTCTGGGTGGGCGTGGTGCCAGCCATCTTCAGCCTGTTGGGCTCCACTTGGCATTCAGTAGAGCCCTGTGCTGTCTGCCACCATGTGCTCCCTATAGAATAGCTCTGAGTGACAAGGCCATCGCCTCTCACTGCCCCACTGAATGTCATCTCCCTACCCTTTCCATCACTGGTCTTCCAGTATCAATGAAAGTGTCCTTTCTGTTGAATGCATTCCTTTAAAGACTAAGTCTCTTTTGAAAGGCATAGATAGCAGGTAAGTATTAAACCAAACCAATCTATCCCTAAGGGATCTTCTAAGGATATGTTAGGAGATCCCAGCCTTCGCCACTGCCCACGTGCTAATTAATATTTCCCACCTGGCTAGCCCCCTCTATGGAAAACACTTCTAAACAATTTCCACTCTCCTCTGCGCTCAGACCCTTCTAACATCCGTGCCCTCTCTACCCCTTCGGTTGTTTAAGCTAACTTTATGACCGCTCTTCATAAAGTTACCGGATTCCCTGCTTTTTTAAAAACCTCTCTCTGACCTCTGCTGAACTGCCCTCTGCCCCGAAAGCCCTCCCTCATTAAACGTTTGCATTTAATAACAGAAGTTGCCAACGTCTTGACCTTCTTTCAGATATGACAATGGATGATGTTCGAGAATACGAGAAAAATATGCATGAACAAACCAACATAAAAGTTTGCAATCAGCAATCCTCCACTGTGGATGACATAGAGAGCCATGCCAAAACAAGTGTATGTAGCATTTTTGCAACACGTTGCCCTCCCCCTTTCTTCCCCTGACACCCATGTAAACTGACCCTTGAAGCCCCATTCTGGACCCCCTCCACCGAAGCATATGTCTCGGAGGATATTGGCATGGGAGCCAGACTGGGTCTGAATCGGACAAGGTCACTTCTCCCTCTCACACAATCCAATCATTGGTTATTTCAATCATAAAACCAGGAGCATGGAGAGTGGAACTGTTTCGTGGTCCTGATGAAAGAGCGAAGAGGGAAAGATGGGTGTCATACGTAAACTAGGACTAGTTGTCAGTCACTTTTCAAAACAGTTAATTCTTACTCAGGTGCGGGCGCCTACTCCTCTGCTGTGTTAGGTTTCTTTACATTGCTCTGAAACGCTTTCTGTGACTCTTTATGGCGGTTTTGCCCACTCCTGGTTTCTTAGGAGCGTCTCTAAATTGGGCTGTATCCTGCGTACACATCCTCGCTGGCTGAGCTGGGTGGTGAGCTAGGGCTGTTGGGCTGCAGAGCAGATCTGTCCTGGGTCAAAGATGAGCCTCGGATGCTCAGGACTGCATTGTCACACGTCAGATATTGAGTGAGGGCTGACCGGGTGGGTGCTGCATGCTGGCACTTCAAAAACAGTGATCTCTCAATCCTTCATGCGAACGATGTGAAGAGGAGATGCCGTTAATAAAGAGAAGTGTCATCACCAAATCTTCAGCCAGAGCTGAGATCTCACTGGGTACTACCAACTTGAACGTTCAAGTTCATTTAACCCAGGTCCCAAAAGATTCCATTTGGGGTTTAAAAATAAAACTGGTTATGGAAAATTGAGAGATGGTGGGAGATGTTAAAGGAGGCTTTGGAGTGTGGAAGACCATGCAGTTGTACTTGGCGGGTGTTCAGTTTGGGGTTTGGAGCATGTCTTTGGAACGTGTGCTGTGCGCAGCTGCCTGCATGCGTGGGAATGCCTGATTCCGCCTCCCGTTTTGCACGTGGTGATTGGTTTTGCAGAAGCACTGGGAGCCCACTTAGCTGCGGTGCTTCTTTCTCCGCTCAGATGTCTCTGATCCTCTTTCCAGTTGGCCTTCCTCCCTCCTCTCTCCCTGTTCTAAAGTTGAAAGGATGTTCAGGAAAACTGCCTGTGAATTTCTACCACGTTTTCTTCTTCTTGAGGAACGTTAGGTTCCAGGTGCCCTCAGCCAATGTCTCCTCACTGCAGACATGACCAGAGGGAGAAGGAGACACCACCTGTCCAAAGGCTGCTCAGCAAAGTGCTTTTCAAACAAATCTAAATTCTTACATCTTAAATTCTTCTGGCCTTTTGTTTGGTTTCCCTTAGGTTTTACTATTGTTGTTATTATTACTATTGTAAAATCCTTTTACTATATAGATACCCACAGCATGGTTCTCTGTCCATGAGACAGACCATGGATTTTGAGGCTGCAAACCCCAGTTGCAGATGTGACTCCAACTTAAAAGATGCTTCCTTCTTTTACATATAGTTAACACAAATGATCATTTTAAATGCTTACAGTATGTCCAGTATTCTTTCAAACCCTGCAAAATTTGGGATCATTTGTTTTCCCCATAATCCATATATACATACAGTTAACACAAATGATCATTTTAAATGCTTACAGTATGTCCAGTATTCTTTCAATCCCTGCAAAATTTTGGGATCATTTGT